CTGCAGCTTTCATCCAAGGTTATGTAACAGAATTCACCAACGCACAAGCGAGGAAGAACCACTCGACCTCACCACAGCAGTAGACTATGCCGAATGCTAGGATGGTCAAGGTTAACTTTGATGGAGCTTTTAGTAGTCAAAGACAAGGAGGTATAGGGATCATCATCAGAGATCATGAGGGTGAAGTTTAAGGGGGCCGCAGTAATCTGCATGCAAGGAATAAACAACCCTTTCCAGAATGAAGCAAATGCTGCAGTAAAAGCTCTAACATTTGCACAAAACATGGGCTTTACAAGAATCATGCTCAAGGGAGATAACTGTGATAAAAAAACTTAAAGGGACAGAGCAAGATCTCTCTCTTGTTGGAACCATTATAGAAGAAGCTAGGTGAAAGATGTCCATGTTTCAAGAATGCCATATAATGCATGCATCACGATTTGGGAACATAGTGACCCATAAGCTTGCATGTTATGGCCTACATACTACCAATGATAAAAAAAATGGGTAAAAGATTGTCCTAGTATAATATCAGAAGTTCTATGTGAAGATTGTATCCAGAATTGATTAATGAAGCTTATTTTACCTAAAAGAAAAGGTACTTCATTTTAGCTTCTAGCCTTTCGATCCTTGTTCCAACTGGCCCCACACTTCAATTCCCGAAGACCTCTCTCTTTCACAGCAGTTACCAAAGCGGGTTTGTTTCTGGGCGCCGGAGAAAAGAAGAAAACGAGCTTAACTGAGATAGTTAAAGCGGGTGACCCGGTTTTGCATTAACCGGTCAAGGAGGTGGAGATGGATGAAATTGGGTCGGAGCAGATACAGAAGATAATTGATGATTGGGTTCGGGTCATGACGATGGCTCCTGGTGTTCGTCTTGCTGCCCCTCAAATTGGAATCCCGTCGAGAGTTGGTTTTGAAAGCTTTCCGGCTTTGGTTTATTATTAGTATTATTGTGGCTATTCTGTTAACAAGTTATAACATATTTGTTTATAATTACTTAAGCTCTGTTTTTACTCTCTTTGAGAATCTTTGCATATCCGAACTAACTGAAATAAATTTACTTTGAGTTATTGAATTTTTTACCATGATCCATAAATTCTTCAGTTATTCAAAACTTTCTAACAAATGGATACCATTTTAACTCACAGATATACTTAACAACTTGCATCATAAAATTACTTACTACTTAAAATATATTCACCAGTTCTAATATTGAAAAACAATATTTAAAAGAAATGAAATTATTACCTTGGTGTCATTATGGTGACCATCTTCTCTCTCATCAAAATCACCAACAGAGAGAACCCGTTTAACTCTGGGTCGGGTTCTTGGTGACCCAGATCGTAGGAGCTGCAACACCGAGTCAATGTCAAAGCCTTCTGCATGTACTACAACATTGGAACACATTAATATAGAAATGTAAATGAAAACAATAATGGTGCACGTTGAACACGAACACGAAAATCCCAGATTTTGATGTTCTGTTAAGAGGACATGGAAACTTGCATCTTAAAGCTCATTTAGGTTAATTTAATTTAAATTTCTTTTTAAAGTAATAAAAAAATTTTTATTTTAATATATTAAAATAATTATTATTATTATTTTATAATAAATTATTTTTATGGGTTAAGTTAGAGCTTAAAAATTTTTATCTAAGACTCGGTTGGATAAATGTACTCCTCCTTACCTACAAGTTATATTGATTTAGAAATTCAAATATTGAAATTCAGATTTAGTTATTGTTGAGTTAAATTTAAGGAAATGATTTTCAAATCTAGTTGAACATTTAAAATTTTTAATATACCCATGACTGATCTAATATAATTATACACAGATAATCAAAATTTGAATTTATTGTTATCTTCAAGTTTAATTAAATGGAGATTGAGCAATTTGACATTTTTAGCGACATTCTTTTACAAATAATGAAACCAAAAAAACATGACGAGAAACTTGGAGCGATTTTTAATAAAAGCATGACTTTAATTCATTAAAATTAAGGTAAAAAAGACTAAATCTATTAGAATTGAAATAATAAAAGAATCAAATTCTTGTTAGGTCAAATAATTTCAATCCAATCATATCATCGAAAGTGAAATTAAGCAATTAATTAAGTACACAAAAGATAATAATTTAATGTGATTTGACTTAATCAACTTACGTATATGAATGAGAAAATAAATTCACTAGTTGTAAAAAATTATAAACATATATTAAATTAATTTCACTAAATAATTAATATTCATAGATCTTATTAATCTCTTTTAATTCTATAGAGTACTTTTAATTCAAATAAATACATACCTATGTGTGGATTCTTTCGGTCTCCTCTAATTCACTTATTAATCTACTCACAAACATTCAAACATATATACTTATAAAACATAAATGTCTAGTACTATATAGAGTGTCTATCCAATAAAACCTTATAACTTTCTTAAATCTTTTTTTCATACATAGACTTCACATATTTATAAGTATATAAATTTACTTATTAAGAATTCATTTTTTAAAATTTTTTCTTTTTTTGTAAATCAAATTTATTTATTAAAAATTTATTTTCTCTTAAAATTCTTTTCCTGTAAATATTTTTATCTATCAAATAATATTTAATCAATTTCAAATAAATCTATTATAAAATTTGAATCACTATTTCTAATAATTTTTACCCTCACTTATATAAGTATTTTGTCTACTATAAAATAATAAAGGGGAAGGATTTTCATAGAAAATTAGGTGAATATAATTAGCTGATCTGAGATGTTTTCATGATGTAGCAAATGAAGTGTGAGCTGAAAGCCACTTCACATAATTAATGGGCAACCTATATCCAAGATAGTAAATCCTTTGAGCTAGAGCAATGATGGCAATAAGGTGTATGCCACTCTGAGTTATGAATCAATTGGCTAAAACTCCCCAATAAGGTGAAAGATAATTTTATCACGTCACACATATTTTATAACTGAATTCTTAAAAATTTGTCATCAACGCTCCCTCCAACAACTCTATCAAAGACCTTAATAACTGGACTCGGATATCTGACCAAACGTCTATGTATAAGAAACTTGATATGGAAACGGGTGGGTCAAGATAAATTTTCGTCTATTCCGATTTTGACCCAATTTTTAAAAGTTATATTCAATTCTAATCCAATTTGTTATTGAATTATTATTTTTTATATTTAGTTTCAACATGATATATATATATATATATATATACTTCGCATCCAACTTAAAATTATTTTAATAATTTTAATTTAGAATTATAATTATAAAAATATTATTTTTTAAAATAAATTATATCTTTTATTTATATATAAATATAATATTTTTATTAAATTAATATTTTAAATTAAAATATTAAATAATAATTTTATTAATATATAAAAATATAAAATTAAATAAATAATAAAATAAATATTTATATATATATATATCTTGAAATGAATCGAGCATGGTTTTTTAAAATTTGACTTCAATTTGATTTTGATTTTTTAAAAATTTTGCAATTTGAATTTTATAAAATTATTTTTATTAGATCAAAATATATCTAATCTCATCTTAATACGAATTATTTACTCTCCCAACAATAGAGTAAGACCCTAAGCTCATCAACATTTAAGCTTCCCATACTTGATAATCAATTAGTAAAGGCGTTCACAATTAGAATTGGGGGGCCACAACTTTGGTTGCTCATCTATCATTCAACATGCAGCACACAACTCCTCATCACCGTTCGATTATATCAAGGATTCACTACAAAAACAATTACGTTGAGGATGGGCCATGGGCCAAGCTAGCTGTTGAATTGATAAGATCGACATTGAAAGGGACCCTAAACCAATAAGACCGTCGATTTTTAGACCCCACTAGTTGACCCAACTAGATTGGTGTGCAAAACCAAACTCTAGGTTATGTACAACTTTAATGTGCCCAATCTGTCTAGCCGAAAGAAGTATAAAACAGAAATGAGGCAAAAATAATGAAACCTACTTCATTAATCATTGTTAGTTAAAGGGTTTACATTCTGCTTTTAAATTTGTTACTTTCCATGTTAGAAAAGCATATTTCGTTTTTACCATATATGATATTATCATAACAAATTTTCATTCGAGGAATTCGATCATTAAACTTGATTATTATTATTTTTTGTGTGAACAAAATATGTATTTATAAATATATTGAAATTCAATCCTTAATTTCACTTTTTCATTTTTTTCTAATATTTTCGAAAATTTTAATTTAATTTAGTTTTTTTTGAACGACTAAAATATTTTAAAAAACCGACAAACTCCAATGATATTCCCATTTGATCTTTAGCATTTAGCATCTGTAGGGGATATATGGCTAAGAATTTCTCATTTATGCATATATAATATCATAGGGGAGGATTGGCTGTTTCCTTCAATTTGGAGACAAAGGCTTGCCTGATTTCAGCACCCGTGAGAGTGGAGACAATGAAGTCTTGGATTTGGTTTCAACTTTGCAATTATATATAACTATTGGCACATCTTTGGAACTGTCCAATAACCCATCGGCGTTGCTCATCCAAGGCTCGAGTGGATAATTATCTTGTCAAAATCAAATAAAATTGCTTTCGGTTCATTCTTGATAATTCTAGATTAAGTGGTCATATTTAAATAAAGCATTAGAAATTTATATATACACAGTGCCTCTTAAATAAACATATAGTAACAATTTCCACCAAAGAACACTATAGATTATGAACAACTCCCACAAAAAAAGAATAAAAATTCAAACTTAATTTAAAATTTTTATTTAATTATTTAAAAAATTAAAATTAAAATTTTTTCAATTATAATCTCTTTTTCATCATCAGATTTCGGTCTTTTTTTAATGAAAAAAAAATTATGCCAAAACTTATTAGGTTGTTAAGCTGGGTTCCACCAACGACTAAGTTAAAAAATAAAAATAAATGTATTCACAATTTCTTCAACTCTGGAAGAAAGAGAAAGGAAAGAAACAGGGTGTTCAATAATTCTTAGATTAATCAAACCTTAATACCCTTCCTAACCAGTGGACATCTCTGAGGATGAGATGCTAATAATTTGGTTAAATTAAAAGGAAATTAAGACAACTAAGAAGTGACTTTAATGTTTGCAAAAGGATAAACAACAAAGTGGAGGCAAACTGATTCAAGGGTCCACTCTCCCCTGTTTGATGATCCCTAGAATTCCTGATATTTTCTGCCAAAAGAAAACAGAACAGAACAGGGGAGAGATTACCCTTTTTCCACAATTGAGATAAAGATCCCCAACACTCGAGAAAATTTAAACCTATTTTAGTACCACTACACATTCCCATTGAAAAAAATCTTAAAGAAGAAAAAACTTTTGTTCTTGTTCAAGAAAACACAAAAGGAAAAGTAGATCAAACCAAACCAAGATGCCTTACTATGGGAAAGAAAGAGAAGAGTGTGAATCAAGATTTTGCCTATTGTACAAGTGAAAATTGTCTCAACAACAACTAAATATAACATTTACAGATTAATTTAATTACATCCACCCAAACCACAAAATTCTGAATGAAACAGAAATAGGAAACATTAATAGAATAAGAAAGGATCAAAACTTTAAACACCAAAAAAATAGCCATCCATAACCTGTTCTTTTTGTTTTTGTAGAAATCCCACATCTCAGTTCATTAAGATGGAGTGAAACTTGAATTTTAAACACCCCCCCCCCCCCCACAAAAACATATATCGATATACCCACTACCAGCCATCAAGTTCACCGGAATTCCCACCTCCGGTCACTGGAAAATACAAGAAAAGAATTGACAAAACCTATCTTCATCTACGCTTACTAGGCGTTTTCCGATGATTCTTGGCTTGTTTTCCAAAAGCAATGCAAAAACCACAAGCTGAGACCTTTGGAGAAGGCGGCTCAGTAGCAGGGGACACCTTACCAGTACGGTAGCCTCGTCTTTCACCGCCGGATCGGCTTCTTTCGATGGTGTTGATTGGACCAACGTTTCTTGTCGGCTTAACATCCCTAATAACATCATTTTTTTCTGGCTTATTGTCTTGCAGCTGCCCTTGTTCGTCTTGCTGTAGCTGCTTCGTTTCTCCTTCTTGTTGTTCTTGTTTCACTTGGTTTAACTCTGATAAAAACCTGTCATCCCAAACAAACCCTGAAGATCCTTGCCTCCTAAAAGAAACTGCAGATCTTTGCAAACCAGCCATGGTAGATAACAACTTTCACTGGATCTTTATCTCTTTTCTGTCTTTGAATGAAACTAAAATCTAATATTTCCTTTTGCAAATTCCAAGTAACTCATTATATATCCGGAGAGAGAAGGACAGAAAAATCTTGAACATTTGGTTAAGAAAAAGTCATAATAAGGCAACTCAGTCAATATTTCCAAGTTTTTTTTTTTTTAAATATTATTCTCTGTCAACCGTTACCATTGATGAGTAAAGGAGATTTGGTTAATTATGGATTAAAATATTTATTCAATTCTAAAGTTTATACTATAATGTTAATCAAGCAAAATTATACTAGTGTGAGTTAATATTTTGTTGACTTTTAATTACTTAGTTTAATTTACATTTTACATCTCTTTTATTATAATTTGTAATTAGTTAATCATAACAAACAATATAAAAATATAGAAATGTATTCCTTAAAAATGTAAGCTTTGCATAATTTTTTATGGATCTTATAAAATACTAAATTATAATTAATTAATTATATCGTAGTAAATGTCGGGCATAAGCTCTCAAAATTTAGAGTTAATTTAAATAGCCGATAAAATTAGTTTTGATAAATTTGAAAATAATAATGACAATAAAATTAGCTACTATAACAATAAAATTAGTTATTATAATAATGATTTATTTATTGGTCAAAATTATTTTTTTAAAAGTTTATATAATTTAAATTATTAATATAATTTTTAAATGTATTATAAAAATAATTCTCTCCATTTTGAGATATTGAATCATCTTATGCTAAATGGATGATTAATCTTTATTATAATTTTATCTCTTTATTTAGATACAAACTAAATATAATATATAATGATTATCATCTTATCATATCCATCATCTTATACACCAAACATAACCTTAGGATGTGTTTGGTGTACAAAATTATGTTAAAATAAGATAAGATGATATTATGAATATGATTAGATTAAGTAATATCATATTATCTTGTGCTTGATATGTATAATGATTAAGATAGAATAATTTATTTATTAGTCAAAATTATCTTTTTTCAAAGTTTATACAATTTAAATTATTAATGTAATTTTTAATGATATAATAAGACATATAAGTTCAATCATATGGATTAAAAATAATCCTTTCCATTTTGAAATATTGAATCATCTTATATCAAAGGAATGATTAATCCTCTTTGTAATCCTATCATTTTCTTTAGATATAAAACTATTTTTTTTTTTTGAAAAAGTTTATGAGTAGGGGAGCTTACTTCATCTTTAAGGTTAGGGCAAGCCGCCAACCCACAAGGTGATTTACGACTCCTTTAGAATTTTTTTGATTTACAAATCACTTACCAACAAGAGACAGTGGGGGTTCAAACGTAAGTACTTTGCATCCAGGCTCTAAACTTAAACATTTGCGCCAACCCCTATTAGCATACAAATCAAATATAATAAAAATGATTATTACCTTAATTGACTCTAATATAGATTTGAAGTTGATATGAGAAATTTTTTATTTTATTTTCTTAGATAGAATCTAGAATTGAGGATCATGTATAATAATTTGGAAAAATCTCAATATGGTCCCTAATCAAGATTACTCAATTGATTATGATAATTTTTTAGCAGTAAGGAGTTGTTAAGTTTAGCCAAATATATTTTTATTTTGATTAATTCAATCAAATTTATTTACATTGAATTTAATAAATTTATAAAAAATTATCTTCCCACAACTTTTTAGCTGGTTCAAATTAAAAATAACCAAAAGAAAAAACAAACTCTCTTCCCACTATGCTAACATATGTTGAGGCAAAGATCTTATTTTCGTACCTTCAGTTTGGAGAAATTAATTATCGTGAAAGAGATATAGGCAAAAGTCTTTTATGTTAGCTGGCACCAAACTTTGACATAGCTCTATCCCCATGCGTATAAGTTTTGACACATTGTTAATGCTTAACATAGTTGCTTTCCTCCGCAGTCAGCATGGCCATATGTCTTTGTGTCTTTTCAATTTTCTTGAAAAAACAATGTTACTTGTGGACATTTTACACTTCATTTGCCATGGATGGATTCTGTATAATCATCCACAGAAAAAAAAAATTATACTTGAGGCTTCTGCTTATAATAAAATAGTTATTTGTTTATTATTAATGAATTAGCACTTAATTTCAAGATATTAATAATGTGTAAAGTTTATTATTAAAGCAATTACTTGCCAAAAAAAAAAAAGTTATAGTGTATCTTTAGTTAATAAGTAACCATTTCTATAGGATGTTTAAAGTGTAGTAACTGTTGTGGTTACCATTTCTATAGGATGAGATTTATGGGATGAGAGAGTCATATTTTTTGTAGTTAAAACACTCATGCCAAATGAATTTTCATATATGAAAATTAAAAAGTTATAATCACTTTATTACTTAACTTGGAAGAATTCTTTAATCAATACAAAATTTTTTAATTTATAATATGTATACATTTTTAGCTATAATTTACCAAATAATTCTTTTCATAACTGAATGAAGAGACAATTTCTCACCAACCCCAAGGCAATAATCAATTTTTGAGACAAAATGAGAATTTGCAATATCTATACAAAGGTCAAAAGAAGCTTTTGGATAGAATATTTAGCAGATGATTCATGCATGAATGAAAAGAAAAAAATGAGACAAGAGAAATTTACAAAAGGAGTGAGAATTATAAAATAAAGCATAAAAGGGTGACAATTAATTTGATTTGATGTTTGGATAAGATAAGATAAATATAGGCATCAAATACTAATGTGTATACATATATAATTTAATTATTTATTGATTTTTTATATAATATATAATTATAAATATAACTTATATATGACTATCGAGTTCAGTCAAATTTAGATCTTAAATATTATGTTTAAGATCCAACCTATTTAAAAAATAGACATTCAATTTAAGTTTAAACTTATTTAACGAGTTTAATGTTTTTATTTAAATTTTCTTAAATTTTTAGAAAATTTTTAGGTTTAAACAAATAATTTGACCTTTAGAGAAGTTTAATGCAAAAAAAAAAAAAAAAAAATTTCTACTATATATTCTCTATCAAATGAAATCAACTTATATGCACCATTTATAGCTAGTCAATCCTCTTCATCTTCAATTCCATACAAGAAATTTAATGTGTTTAACCAAAAAGTCCAATTGGCTTAGAGATAAGATTAGAATAATTATTACAATAACTGAATGAAAAATAATTTTTCACTATAGATGGCAACGGATCGAGATGAATTTTTGTTACTTTGAACTTGATCCAATTTTATAAATTTAATATTTAAATTTGACTTAATTTGATATTAAAATATTATTTTTATACACGAACCCGACTTAATCTATATATATTTAAATTCGCAATTGATTCGATTCAATTTAAAATTAATAAAATATTAATTTTTTAATATAAATATTATTTTTAATATAAAATATTAATTTTTTAAATATAAATATAAAATTAAATAAATATACAAATATATAACTAAATAAATAATTAAAATAATATATATCGGGTTGAGTTTACATAAAATCTAATCTCAAATTTTTTTAAATATATGATCCAATCCAAACCCCAATTTAAGAAAAAAAAAATCAACTTTATAAGATCAAAACATATCAAAATTTTATAGATATGAGTTAGATTGTCAGTCTTATTTCTCACCAACCCCAAAGCAATAATCAAATTTTGAGACAAAATGAGAATTTGCAATATCTATACAATGGTCAAAAAGAGATTTTGGATAGAACATTTAGCAGATGATTCATGCGTGAATGTAAAGAACAAAAGAGAGATCGGGCTTAAACAAGAACTTAATAAGTTTAAGATTTACTTAGACTTAGCTTAACCTGATGTTATAGGTCTCAGTCGTTGTTCAGGCTCGACTCTAAATGAAAAGACGTTATCTAAACTAGTTCAGACTTTAATTTTTTCAAATAAAAAAAAAATAAAATCTATAATGAATATTAATTATGACAAAATAAACAACCAATAAAATAAAGCATAAAAGGATGACTATTAATTTAAATTGGTGTTAGCATAAGATTAGATAAACGTAGGCATCAAATATTAATGTGTACACATATATTATTTAATTATTTATTATTTTTTATATAATAAAATTAAAAATATAATTTATATATATTTATCGAGTTCAATTGAATTTAAACCTTAAATGTAATGTTTAAGATCCAACCTATTAAAAAAATAACCATTTAATAATCATTCAATTCAAGCTCAAATTTATTTAATGAGTTTAATATTTTAATATAATTTTTTTTAATTTTTAAAAGAATTTTAAGTTTAAATGAATAATTCGATCCTTAAAAAAATGTAATGCAAAAAAAAAAAAATGCACCATTTATAGCTAGTCAATTCTCTTCATCTTCAACTCCATATAGAAAATTTAATGTGCATAACCAAAAGGTCCATGTGACTTAGGGATAAGATCAGAATAATTATTACAATAGAGTGGAAAGAATAGAGGTGGGAAGATTTTTAAGTTTAAATGAATAATTCGATCCTTAGAAAAATGTAATGCAAAAAAAAAATCTACTACATATTCTTTACCAAATGAAATCAACTTATATGCACCATTTATAGCTAGTCAATTCTCTTCATCTTCAATTCCATATAGAAAATTTAATGTGCATAACCAAAAAGTCCATGTGACTTAGGGATAAGATCAGAATAATTATTACAATAGAGTGGAAAGAATAGAGGTGGGAAGATTGACAAATATGAAGATGGTGATGAGCAGACCATATAAATATTTGGGTCCATTTGCTGGCTCCAACCACTTCATATGCACACTTGCTCACCTTTTGTCAAACACTTGCATTTGCATTCCCATGGCCTTATCATGGTTAGGTCAAGGAAACCCAGAATTGATGACTTTGTACACTTAAAAAACTCCTTTATTCTCTCTATTTGCCTTTTCATTTCTTTCACTTTTGATTCTTCTTTGTGATAAATCTAACACTTTTTAATTTAATCTCCAGCAAACTCCACTCTAGAGTAAGAATTATATTAATTAAGAAATTCCATAGGAAAACCTGCAAAATAAAATCTCACCAGGTTGATAATTGATAATAAGAGTCAAACTTTTTTTTTTTTTCATTTTCACTTCCAGTGTATTTTTCTTGTCAAAGATGGCACAGCAACCTTC